GACTTACGGCGTAGATCTAATAATCCGTATGAATACTGTAGACACTTGATTATCACTCTGTTGAGGTCTAAAAAGTTCACACAGTTGTAAAACTCCAGGAAGGCACACAGAAAACTTGATGAAGTATCTAACTAGTTCTATACTAACTCTATATTCTATACTAGGTATACTAAGTTCACTTTTAATCTAGATCTATATCTACTCTAACTGATTTAACAAGTCCGCTTGGGTGGGATTTAGGAATTTTCTAAAGAAGGTCGCTTGGGTCGCTTGGGTGAGGTCAGGGATCACAGAGGTGTTCTCGGCTCGGGGGTGAGTGTGCTCAGCTCACCTGTATTTATACCCTCTGTAACCCACGTGATCGGATCCATCTGTATCTCCATCACGTTTTACGTGGATGTAATTGTAGCAAGGCTCTTTTCGCCTGGATCTACTTTCGCTTTCCATTACATTACCCACGCCTCCGGGTATAAGTGTCCCCACATACCAAAAATTCAAAAACAAAAGTGAAAGGTTATTAATGAAAGGTAAGGATTACTTGATCCTTTGAAAGTCTTAAACACAATTGGAAGTTTGAAACTGTCACTCTCACTGGGTACTACTATTAGCCAACTACTTGTCGGCGATCTATTCAACCCACTGTTCAGTGATAACTTCCTTCACAATACGTTTTCCCTCTTTGTCGTATGTTATTGTCTGTTTCTTTGTCACGGTCTTGACAGGCGCTTCTGTCTGCGTGCTGGCATCAAAGCTCAGTCTGCTGTAGATGAAGCCATGGACCCCAGTCATGGTGAATTGATCCTCCGTGCTGCTCCTCTGTTCCCTGCTAGAACTTTCCCCTGGATCTGGAGCAATACTTCCATCTTGATCTTCCTCCTGCTCCAAAGGTAGTGTGCTGAGGAGTGCACCTGGATCTTGGTTTTCCCATTCGTCCTCACTTCCAGATGCTTGGTGAGTTTCATCGTGCCCAGTGCATTTCACGTGTCTGTCCAAATCACACTTCTTAACAGCCGCGTAGTCACACCCTCTACATTCAAATTTCTTTAATGTTCTTTGCCGGTTTCCACATTCTACCAGGTGCTCTGACCACTCCGCCGTGTCATCGAACCTCGCCGCACACATTGGACAGCGGTTCCCCGTCTTCCTAGGAGTTGTCTTGGTTTTAACCATGATCCTGAAACATATAACGAAAAGAACCCGTGAATTTTCACTCGGGGAAATCAATTATCAACAAAATAACGCATAACTATAATACATGCATTTGTGTCCCTAGCAGATAAAGTCGCGATGCCAGCTTGGAGGGTGTCTGTTACGTCGCGGACGATCGCGTGAGGGTTCAAGCCCCGTGACGGATGCGCCGCCGGTTTTGGTGTCTTCCACCAACTCTTGATGTTCGACGATGTCTTGGCTTTCTGTCCACTCTTCCCCATCGCCCTCCATAGGCTGTCTTTCTGTAGTTTGCACTTCGGTCTCGCCGCGCAGTATCTGTGACCGATGTCGCCTCATGCGGTCCACATGTATCACCTGTTGTTTTCCTCGGTACCCACAAGGTATTTTGTACGTCACGTCCGTACACTTTTCCGTCACCTTGAACGGGCCCTGCCACATGGAGGTCAGTTTTCTGGACTTCCCAGGCTTGACGCGAGGAAAGAAGACAAATACAAGATCTCCTGTTTGGAACTTGCTCCAAGAGACTTTTTGGTCATGATATTTCTTCTGTCTTCTCATTTTCCCTTCCGTGTGTAGTCTCACAAAGCGATGGGCCTCTTCCGTTCGGTCCTGTAGCTCCCATACCCATTCATTTTGAGGTGTGGTTTTGCCATCTACTGGCATCTCGTACTGTATGTCCAGTGGCGTCGTAATCTCCCTACCAAGCATCAGGTAATTTGGTGTGCAACCCGTGGTCTCCTGCTCCACTGAGCGATAGGCCATTGTAACGTATGGTAGCAACTCATCCCAGTCTGTGTGGTGGTCGTTGACAAAAGCACTAAGCATTGTCACCAATGTTTTGTTGAACCTTTCCACCATTCCGTCACACTGGGGATGATATGGGGAAGTGCGTGTCTTCCTGATACCTAGGAGTTGACACATCTCAGCAAACAATCTACTTTCAAACTGAGCGCCCTGATCGGAGTGTATCACATAAGGCATACCGAACCTCGATATGACTTCCTCGACTATTACCGCCGCAATAGTCTTAGTCTCCATATTGGGCATGGCAAAACAC